TAGTTCCGCTGATACTAATAGAAAAAAGGTTTTTTTAATCAAAATTTAGAATGTTCTAAAAAGAAGGAAAATTTTTTAAAAATAATTAAAAAAAACTTTGGCCTTTCCTCTTAATAATAACATAAGCATTTAGACAATAAAATTTAGTTTTCGGCAAGGTTGGCGTCTTTTTCATCAAGCTATGCTCTTTTTTTAGCGATTTCGTGGAGGTACCTAAAATAACAGTAGAATGTAATAAATGTACATAAAATTATAGTATTTTATGTACAATTCTGATAAAATTTCATAAGAAAGGTACCTATAAATTAATTAGATACCTTTCTTAAGAAATATGAAATTTAATGTCACTCTTAACAGTTTTATTTTAATTTCTTTACAATATATTTCCCATAAAGCATCATAAACGTAAAGGTGAAAGCTAAGTACAAAAAAAAAAAAAAAAATTAGACCACTGAAAGTTTTCGTTAAAAATAACGAGGTAAATAATTTGTTCACGTAAATGTAAATTATTTCACTTTTCTCCTTCCGTAGAACAAATTAGCCTCATGGAATTCGTAAATATATCATTCATCACATGTCAAGAGACGCGAAGGTTTATGACCTGCTTTGTTTTATTTTCAAATTACATCTTTTTGGCACAAAAGTTAAGTTAAGTTTGGTTCAAAATATTTTAAATAAACATTATAATTTCTGATTTTCTTAAAATAAGTTTTGAAAAATGATAATTGATATTTAAAAAAAATTTCAAAGTCAGATTTCAGTTTTTTTTAAATGGAAAAAGATGGTCAATTTTGCTGACTCAAAAAAAAACTAGATTTTTAATCGAAAATTTCGGACGTGCTAGAACGATTAAAAAATGGGAAAAAATACCCCAAAATACTTTGACCTTTCCTCTTAATAATAACAAACATTTAGACGATAAAATTTTGTTTTCAAATCCAAGTTTGGCGCTTTTTTTCATCATGCTATGCTCTTTTTTAGCGATCTCGTGGAGGTACCTAATTAAATTATTACATTTGTTACATCCCAACTGCCACTTATTTAATTTTATGAGATTTCAAAAAATTCATTTTTGTAGAGATTAATGTTTATATTAATTATAATCACAAAATCCTTAGAGAATTTAAATCATCAATTTTTTTTTTGTCAAACAGGACACCCAGTTACAGAAAATCTGCTTGGAATCATAAAATAAAAAATGCAATAAAACTAAGATATATAATAAGAAAAGCTTTTAATTGTTTTTATGAATAAGATATATTATGGACACCATTGTCTTAAGAAAAAATTTTTTTCAATCAATTTTTACAAAAATTGTTTTCATTTTTTTAAATTTTAATTATAATAATATATAAAGTTTTAAATCTTATAAAATCCTGTATTAATTTGTAGTAGTTAAGTGATATTGCTATTAAGTAAGAACTATATTTACTAATCCTAAATGGAAAAGCTTACAACACTTAAGCAACACCCAGTATTTTGAAAAGAATTTTCAATCTTTCTATGTGTGAATAAATATGCCAATTTTTGTAAATATGGATGACAATACACTATATTACAAGAGTGGTAATTATACTAAATTTTAAATTTATTGATAATTTTCTAACATTTCCTCAACAAGCATCTTCAAAAGTAAAACTATAAAACTAAAATACCTAAAATTCAATAAAATATTAGACTATTTTCTTAAATTTTTACAATTACTGAGTAGTTAAAAAAAATAATATATATATATATATATATATATATATATATATATATATAAATAAAAGGTGTTCACTTTATATTCAAGTAATTTCTTTATTTAAAAATACCAAACATTAAGCTATTGATAAATCTATCAATGCCTCATAAAAACACTCACCTCCACAACATTTCTGCAACATTTTGAACTAAAAGTAAGTAATATTTGTTTTAATTCAGATTAATTACATTTTAAATCAGTTAAAGTTTCGGAAAAGTATATTCTATTTTTGAAAGATTTCTATAATAAAGAAAATTATATTGTGTTGACAGATTTGTCAATTGGTCAGTTTTAGTGATTTAAAAAAAAACAATAAATTCATTCAATTTAAATTCAGTAAAGTATTTTTGCTTATTCAAAATATTAAATTTAATCTATCAGCTTGCAATTAAAGCTAAAATAAAAGCTTCAAGAAAGATTTTCATTTTTAAAATGCATTTTAAACCCTAGGTACAAAATTTATTTATGTTATAAACAAGCTAAGTTGTTTGCAGAGTTCAAAAATTTTAAGCTGTTATGTTGTATAAATAATCATTAAAAACATGAAGGGTTTGCTGCTCACATGATAATTTGCAGTGAACTATTGCCAGAAATTGGAATTATAATGATTAAATCAAATGTTAATTCCCAACAATATTTTCAAAACATTCAATAAAAAATACATGCATCTTGAAAGAAAACTTATTAGCAATGACAAAAATTGATTATGGTTATTTATCTATTAACTGTCCAAAAAAGTCTGAAAAGTCAAACTAACTCAAAAAATTGTTTTAATTAGGTATCTGCAAAGATTCACTAAAAAATGACCATACATGATAAAAACAAAGTTTTATCATCAAAATCATTGTTATTATTAAGAGGAAAGATAAGGTATTTTTTTCATGTAAAAATTATATTTTCTAATCTTTTTTAGAACCTTCGAAATTTTGGTTAAAAATCTTGTTTCTCCAGTGTCAATGTTGTACCATTAATATGGGAATTTTTAGTGTCTTTTTGCAGTGAAAAATACACCAATTTGGAAATTCTTGCAAAAATCAGATAATTGTTGGATGTTAATGAAACTTTCAAGATTTATTCACAAATGAATGAATCATTTTTAAATATTTCATTAGAAAATCTTGGTAAAAATATTTTTTTTTACATTTGTTAACCCCCACTTATGAAAATTTGAGAAATTCTTTTTTGTAACCCTTAACGTTTATATTAGTTATAAGAACAAGTCCTCGGAGAATTTATATCATTAAATTTTTGTCAAACAGGGCACCCAGTTACAGAAAATCTTCTCTGAATCATAAAAATAAAAATGCAATAAAATTAAGACATTATTTAATTAAAATAATTTATAAAAACTTTTAAAATTCTGTATTAATTTAGAGTGGTCAAGTGATACTGTTATTAAGTTGTTAAATATTTTAAAATTAAGATTCAATCCCTAACTTTTAGAGAATGCTGTTATTAAGTAGATCTATCTTTACAGATCACAAATTTGAAAGCTTACTACAATCTGCAACACACATATTTTTAAAAAGAATTTTACACTATTTTTGAGTATGCATTAAAACTTTTTTTCAAAATATATGGATGATCATAAGTGACCTTAATGTTGTATATTTTAAGGGTGTTTCTCCTGACAGCAATAAACTGGCCTCAGAAAATTTGTTTTCATATTGCAAACATATTGAATTCTCTGACTGACTATGACCATTCTCATTGTATTTTCAAAAGTTTATTTTTTTTCTATGTCCTATTTCAGAAAATATCTTGATTTAAATTTTAGGGACAGAAACAGCAATTCATTCTTCATCAAAATATTTTCAAAAAATAGACACCAAATATTTCATGAAAGATTTTTTTTATTTTTACACTTCTATTTTTAGTGGACTATGATTAACTAGAATAAAAAGCATTAATGATTGCATAATTATTGCAAAACTTTCACAATTTCATAACTGTCATATAACAATTAACATTAAAAATACGGAAAATTAAAAATTAACACATTAAAAAAGCAACATTTTATAAAATGAGAGAGGTATATGTATCTTATTTATGAAATTTTATGGTATTATTTTTAATTGTTTTTATATTATTATCTCAGTTGTGAATTTTTTTCATGAGTGAGATATAAAAAATTAATAAGGAAAAATAATGCTATAAAATTTCATAGGTAATTAGGTACCTCTCTTATGAAATTTTATCTTCCTAATCTTCCTCAAATAAAGTTTAAAAAAGTATATTTTATTTTTGAAAAATTTTTTTAACAAAGAAAATTACATTGCGTTGAGAAATTTGTGGAAACATTAAATAAATTTAATCTATTAGCTTGGAATTTAAAACTAAAATAAAAGTTTAAAAAAAAAAGACATTTTCAATTAAAACTTTAGGTATCGCTTTTCTTTGGAGGTACCAAATTATAATTCTAGACAATTGCATTTGTTATCCGAATTGTTAAAGGGGAATGTCGATAATAATTCAAAGTTTTTGTAGACTTTTTTTTTTATTAGTCTTATTTTCCAATCAGTGATATTCATGTTCGAACTAAAAAAGCTTAGCATTCGTTATGATTTTTATTGGCTAAAATATAAAAAATAGAAATAAAACTTTTAATCGACATATGAGCATATTTATGCACCAAAAAAGTTTCAACAAAGAGTAGTATTATTATACTGTCTGTTGAATTATTACTAGTTGCAGAAAACACGGATGCAAAAATGATATTTTTAGTCTATCCTCATCAGAACAATATAAACTTTGGTATAACTGAGGGAAAATGATCCGCCCGTAAAAAAAAAAAAAAAGTGTCCAAACTTTAATGCAATTTTCTCAAAAGAAGAACGATAAAGGATCCCATCGGTGTTTTTCTTTTTACATGTTTTAACTAATAATCGAAATCAATGAAAAAACAGCGTGAAAGTTATCCCGCTAACAAAACTCATTGCTTACTTTTTTTTATTAACAGGTAGCGTAGAGCACAAGTTGTTTTCACTCTAATTTTTATCATTCTGAGTATTTTTTCGGGTGAAAATCACTTGTTTTATCACACAGAATAAATTCTAAACCTAAAATTATAAGAAACTTAAAATATCTGAAGTTGTATAGACAATAAAAAATGGTTTTCTTCTCACTGAATGAATGATTTCAACCGCTCAACGTTAACCACGTGGTATACAAGGGCTTATAGGATGAGAAAAACTTTTTAAAAAATACATTAACAAGAAAAACAAAATAACAATAGTGTAAGAATATCCTAAGGAACCTGTGTATAAGCATTGATGTCAGTTACACCAGGCAAGATTTCTTCAACTTCCATTTTTTCATCCGCCGTATTTCCAGAATTGTTTGTTTCTTCCTCCATTTTTAAGGAAGTTTTAATTATCAATCTCCACAGAATGGAGAATGACTTAAAGGGAGATAATAAAAAGTAACATTTTTTTTTCTTACCATACTGAAAAAAATGACTTTTTACTTTAGTTATTATATATTATTGAAGTTATTTTTTTAATTATACATTGAACAATGCGTAACCGAAAAAATATACAATAGAATAATCCTAAATACAAATATATTTTAAATATTAACACTTCTGAATCTCAGAACAAATAAAAACTATTTATGAAAAGGTGTATCAAAAAAATAATTATAATAATTAGAAGAAAAAATGCAATTAACAGTGATAGCTACTGTTATTCTTTATTATTATCAAATAATAATAACTCCCTTCATCCACCCACTTCAAATTTAGAGTACTGATGAAGAAGGAAAGAAATTCATGAGCCTATGTGAAATTTGGACTAATGAAAGTATAGTGAGTGTGAAATAATAATAATTCTCTTTACCCACTTCTTTCAAATTCAGGTGAGCTGAGGAAAAAGACTGAAAGGAATCCGAAAGCCTATGTAGAATTTTCTTTGGACTAATGATAATTTTGTCTTCAAAGAAATTAGCTGTTGAGAAGTAGCAAGCAAGATTCCTTTTGATATAAAACGAGGAGAAAAATTACATTAATAAGAAAAAAGTGTCTGAAGTCAAATGAAAGGTTTCATTACAGTTCCCTGCATTCAGTGTTGAAGTTTTTGCCAGCGTAAAATTATTTGCCAATTATATTATTGACTTTTAACCAAGCATGCAGTACTTCAAAGAATTTTTTTCTCAACAATATCTCAAACTATATCTCTTCATCTACTTTTGAAAGTATGCAACAATATATCTCTTCAGTGAGCAACAAACTCTCTTATATTTGTTTTAAACATTTTTTAATATTATTTTGTGTCAGATCATTTGATCTGTTGTATGAAGATTTTCTCTTCATAACAATTCATTAAAACTACAGACCTTAAAGTTTTGATTTATTTTCCTGAAATGAGCTACTGACACTACTTCAAGCATGTAAATTCATGAATAAAGTCCTTATCTTGTTTTGTTAAAATTACCCGTGTGTTGCCTCATTATTATCATCCTTTATTAATCTTCTTGGCATGGGTAAATCAACTGTTCATTTTAACCCCTAAGTCCTATGCCACCATAGTGCACTGACATATTTAATGTAGCACTCAATCTTCTGTCTATTAGTGGACACAATGGAGATATTTGTTGGGTAGATAACTATATCACCTAAATATTAAAATATACAATTCTCTCTTAAAGGTATATGAAAGCTTTTTCATTTTTCTTTGCACTTATGTTGTATTTTGTATATGATTTGTTTCTAATTTATATATTTCCTTTGTGAGGCTGAGGATGTCTTTTTACCCCCAAACTAGGATTAATGTGAGTAAAATTTGTCACTTAGCTGACTGATGTTACTTTCAGCATCTCGACACCAGAGTTTTGTAGACGCACCTGTTCATCCACTTTTCAGGGAGTATCAGCAATTGACGCATCACAAAACAATCTCACAACAAATATGAAAGATCGATTTGGGTGAGAAAAATTGGTCTAGCATGACCAATTTCCAGTTTTCCTAGCAGCAGACCTGGCAATTGATTCAATATAATCTTTCCACTTCATGTCAACAGAAAACATTAACCGAAGAAGGCACAACAGCTTACTGTCCTGGATTTTAGCATTAGCCATGCTGATAGAAGACAGAAGCGTTGTGTAGCCTCTTGTTTATTAAGATATAGCATCTGCCATTTTTCCAAGGTGATCTGTTTGTAGATCGGCTTCAGATGTTATCACTGGCTTGATGGAAGGCAGTGGTGTTGAATAAACTTATGTCAAACAATATCCTCACCAACTCCAATGCAACTGGCTAATGATATAAGCTTGTTAGGATATAATGAAGGATATCCTGTCATGTTGGAAGATAACATTGATTTGCCAAGCATCTCTGGTTTAGATTTTTCATCTGAGCTTATTATAGGTTCTTTTAGTTTTTCATAGATCTTTTATAAAAATTTTATTTTTATTTAAAGAAAGAATTAAAAAAAAATGTCAATTTAAATGTAAGACCATCTAGGTGTTTTTTTTTTTTGTTTTTTTTTTGTGTGTTTTTGTTTATTTACACGTCTTTTGAGAAAGGTGTATTTTTTGTAAGCCGGATGGTGTGTGTAAAAAAGAAAAAAACTGTGCAATTTTTATGACCATTTTGGATCAAGATTTGCCACCAAAATTGTTTGCCAAACTCTGATTTTCTTGTGTAAAATTTATGACCCTTTTGGATCTGGAATAACCGCCAAAAGTGAAATTTTTAGAAGTGCCTTTTTTTCATATATTGGCCAATGAAAATTGAGTTTTCGAGACCCGTAGAAATTCCGGATTGCCCCAAGTGGAGCCGACTTTTCCAAATAAAAGAGAGGACATTAAGAAACGATCAGCAGAAGCAAAAAATAACGAAGGGGATCAGAGGCCGAGACGACACGCAGTTCGCAGACCACTTAACACCATCACTCTACATTGACCGGCAAGTGGGCCATAAATCAGCCTTTCTCCAACTACCAAACCAACCCGGCCTGCTGTCAATAAAAATTCTTCAAAGAAAGTAGGTGGGTGCTTTGCGTTCTGCTAAGTGTTGGTCTCTCTAAAAACTCTGTCCCTTTTTTATGTACTTTTGTAAAAGCTCTAAAACTTTGTCCCTTTTTTTGTATTGTTGTAAAGGGTCTGAAAACTTTATCCCTTCTTTTGGTGTTTTTGTATTTTTGAAGGGTCTGAATTTTCAAAAACTGGAGTTAAAGTAAACAATTATTAATTTCATAGCTTGTTTCTGTGGGTATTTCCTTTTTAGAAACCCCAGGAAAATATTGTTATCCTGCCATGTTAGGCGCACAGAAGGAAATTTTTGTGCAACCTTTCTTGTTCTTGTTTGTATCTTTGTGATTATTGTAAAATAATTGTACAATAAATGTTTTTTCCTGTTTTAAAATTTTACGCAGTGATTTGTCTTGTATTTTTAACTCGCGCTTACTAACGGCAGCTATCGTTTATTCTGCCAACTAAATTTTGTGTCTGGCACAAGGAGTTGGTAGGAGAGTGAGAAAAAAAAAGAAAAAATTTTTATACTTTGAGTGGAGGATGACTAGTTGCAATTTTCCAAGTATATCTGGAGGAAACAATGCCAGTATGTGGTAAAATCTTTGCTGTGCTCCTTTGATGTCTGCAATGCTGAACTGGGCTTCTATGATGGAAAATCATGCTTGCGTGTTGGATTCAATGAATGCTGATGGACTGATAGATACAGCTTGTATTAAGCAGCGTTGGTCAGCAGGCATCTCTTCAGTTTCACTGTCAGATATGGAGTAATTTCTTTTTATATTTATATATGCATCAGATATGTTGGAGGTTTGCCACCTATGGTTATCCCTTATGGGGATTATTAGGTTATTTTCTGACAAAGTCTGTTTCCACCATTTATCAGTATAATTAATTTAGATGTATATTGGCTTTGTATAATGATTAAAAGAAAATGCACATTGAATTGAATGAAAGAAGGTGGCTTGATAGATACAACTTTGATTTTGGTTGATTTTCTTTCTGATTATATACATATCTATAGATCCACTTCAAAAAGGGTGCTCTGCTTCTCACTGGCTTGTGGCCTATATCCTGGTTATGAAAGCTTTCTGATTAGTTGGTCAAATTATCTATTTTTAGAAATGTAGTTATTTTGGTTTCCTTGTTATTGTTTGTATTGTGGCCTTGTTAGGGCCAGTAATAAAGGCACAAAGAGAGGAACTGAGTTAAACAAATATATTAACAGAAACAGTAATACAAACATATACAAATGAGAGTGTTACAGCAAGAATGTTCAGTCCGACTGTCAGAGCTGACTGCTGGTAACTTCCCTCCCCAAAAGGCAGTACTTGCTCCTATTCATAGCTGGGAGAGTCCATGTGTACTTGGGTAGATTACCATAACAATTTGTTTATTTCTTTTCTTATATCCTGGTTGTGAAAAGTTTCTGATTGGTTGATCAAACTATGGCTTTGTTTGCATGGAAATTTTATTATTCATTTAATTTTTAGAGATGGGGGAAATTCTGGACTTCTTGTTGTTATTTATTTTATTTATTTCTCTATCACCACACTACATTGACCTCATGCAACATATGAATACATCAACAGAGACTTCCTCTTCTCATCAATGAAAAACCACCTTCCAAGCTCTGACTCCACTGAATGTCTTCATCTGCTAGAGAAAGTATATCAGTCCACAAAGTCATATATGTCTGGTGAAGAACCAAACATCAAAACCTTTCAAACTTCATCAGGGGGAAAATGAAAGCCCTGATACCTTTCTCAACTTTGCTGTGCACATGTACAAGCACATATGTGAAGAGATGGGCACTGATAATTTAAGTATATCATACCACATCCAAAACAAATGTATCAATAGAAAATAGCATTCCTCCTGATACCAGTGTATTGATGATGAAGAAGAAGCAGTTATGTTGATGACATAAGCTTTAATAGTTGGGATATGAATGATCATGAACAAAAAAATTCCAAAATGCAGGGCCAAAACTTTTCTTAAACTTAAACTGTGATCTGGAACTGGAATAAAAGCAGTAATGGCACATTCTCTGAATGTTGTATAGCCTCTTTGAGCTTTTGGGCAACAGTATCAATTCCATAATAACGTTGCATTCTTCTCTCTTCATTGGGACCCCTCCGATATGCCATATATCATTCCTAAAAAAGAATGAATATAAACAATATAATTCTGACCATTTTTTTCACAAACATTTATTTTAAACAAAAAAAAAATTACTGGACAATCCTTTGTCCATACTTGGTGACTAGTTTCTGTGACCCAAGGTCAACACCTCAGATAATAGTCTAGATACAAATTACTTGAACAATGAACTTTGACCTCTCCAATGTGCCCGCTACCCAGGTCAGCAGGTACCACCTCTGCAATCCAATATTCCTAGAGAGAACAAAATTCCTTGCCTCTTCACTTGAGACAGCACAAAATTTACATACAATTCACAGAAAAAAAATAGTGGTCCAAAAATCACACAATACATGCCAAAAACCACACGCTACAGCATCAACCAATTCCATAACTGAACCACATCCTTGCCACCTAAATTTTACACTTACTATGATCTGCACTTATTTCTTATTCCCAGTGACACAGTGCACACAGCCCATTATCACTCTATTTATTCAACTGCAACCAAATACTTGCTTTGTTATTTGCATATTACCAGATTTACAAATTTTCACAGTTTTACCACCATTAATTGTCTATAATCACTATTATTAATCATCTGCCTCTGTGCCAAAAGGCAACTTGCATCATTTCAATTCCTTCTGCCCTTGGTTGCCCCCAGGGAAAACAACTACTTCCCAACTAATCCATTACTGGCTTTACCATGGTTACAAGGATTTTCTTCTCTTAGTTGTCTACCCCAACCTGACATCTCACAAGCCACCTGACCAATTCCTTTTTGGTTATCAGGGCCATCCATAGGCCCTGAAGGGCCATGTGGGCCTTGCAGACATAGCACCACAACCCTCTGGTGGGTTGAGGGCAAGTCACCGTGTTAAATAACCTTTTGGGATCTAGACTTTCATATGGCTGCTTATCTTATTCAGAAATATCTTAACTGTCAGTTGTATACAATTGCCTTCTCAGGTCAATGATTAAAAATGGCTTCCAACAAATGAACCCTGTAGGTTTTAGACAGGACCAAACAAAAAATTTTATCAAATAACAGGAACCACATCACTTGAGGTCTTTCAAAAGCAGCAACAACTAAAATGTATATTATATGCAGCTCAAAGAGAAAGTAATGGCATAATCAAGATATTGGCATTCCATACTACTTCAAACAAAATGTTAGGGAGGAAGCCCCCAACACCACCACCACTATCACCAAATACTAGAAAGAGCAATAAAAGTTAGTGGACTTAAGAACCTTATTTTCCTGAAAATTGTTTTAACAGTGAGATTCTATAAATTTCAACCGACAGTGGCACTAGAAGGCTAGCAGTGGTTCCATAATTTTATAGGATGTGTTCATATTGCATGGGTTAGGTCCATTGGTTTGTCTAAACATGCATATGCACCCATTAACTTTGTGTACCTCAATAACAATGGGGCTTACAACCATATCATGTTGAAACACTGGTTCTCATATGATCACTGAAGTTAAGCAACATCAAACCTGGTCTGTACTTAGATGGGTGACTGCTTGGGAATATCAGGTGCTGTGGTTGGTGTAATGTATAAAGGCTCAGAAGTAGAAATTGGAGAGCTGAGTTTCAATTCAAGTCATGTTTGGTATATTAACTTACATGTAAATACCCCTGGGAAAGATATGAATCCACCTCTTCTCTCCCCCCCCCAGCTATGGGTCAATTAGTAGGACTTGTACCAGCAAATCATTATTATATAAAAAATTATCTTACAATCTAAAAATATTTCTGGCTTTAAATAACCTGCAAAATGTTGATAAGCCATAAAAAATCAATAAAAATAGGTTATTCCAACAGGATAATGCACTGTATCATTGGGCTGAACTTGCACAGAATTAGTTTATGGAGCATTCTAAATACTTCTGATAAATCGTGTAACTACTATATTTGCCTGATATGGAACAAGGTGGAGCAGTTTATTCATATGCAAGATCAGCAGCTACAAATATCACAGAGCTGTGGATAGTTATGAAGATGGTATGACTCAAGATCTTTCCAGAAATCTTCCAACCATATGTGCAATCAATGCCATGTTGAATTTCTGCACTTCACCAGGCTAGAGGGGATCCTACATGATAGTTTGGGCATGTCAGTGTATCAGTAATAAAGATTTTAAGTTTCTGCACATATGCTAAATAGAGAAAAATTTCCTATTTTATATATTATCTTTTAACAACTGTGTTCTTCTCTTAATAGTGAAAAAACACATACAGCTACATTTATTTCATTTTTGATTTATTTTACTTTTAAGAAGGTACAGAAAATCAACTTTCAACATTAAAGTCTTAGGAGAAAACTCAAAGCCTTTTGTTTCTCACTCCTGTGTTTCTTTAACAATCACTGCAAATAATTAAACTCATCAGTTTGATTCCATATGTCATGCAAGATGTATGATTTTCAGTCATGGAAATAATTACTTGCACAGTTATATGAATAAGAAACTGTTGTACAGGAATATGTAACATAGACTTAGTTTAAGTTGTATGAAACATACAACAACATAAATTTATGAAAAATTCAAACAAAACACTTGTATATATATGTATATATTTTATATTCAAAATTCTTAATACAAGGTTTGCATATATGTACTTGCAAAAGACTGGGTAACAAAAACAATATAAATTTTGTACTTATCTGTCTGGTTGTTACAAGCCTGAAATTGTGCCATTTGTTACTACAACTTCAAAGATCAAAAATAGGAAGATTGACTTTCCCACCTAATGATGTTTCATGCGGGTCTCGTCAGATCACATGACTGTTTCTATTCTCATGAATATTTATAATTAATTTTAATTGTTATTTTTTGTTTTAGTTACAGGAAGTTAAATTTTTATCTCTTGTTACAAAACAAAACTCAAACACTTCAGAGATGAAATGCAGAAAATGATTTATCTAATCTGTAAAGTTGAAGATGAAGCATAAAATACACCTTTTGTATAGTTTTCTTGAAATCAAAACTTGTGTTTATGAAGAAAAACTTTACAAATGTATGGTTTAATAAAATTAGCAAATTATGCAGATGGTGATTCCCACAACACAAATTCAAATTATAGTAAACAAATTATTAGAACATATTCTATTAATTAATAAATTTCAGACAAAATAAAAACCTGTTTGTATTAAAAAAAATTATTAATAAAATACAATATCCCTACTGAGTGAATATGAACTTGAAATAAAATTTAACAAATTATAATTTATAGAGACAAATAAAATTTACACAGCAGTTAAAACATATTAAATTATTAATTAAAGTTTCAACTACTAAGAATGTAACTAAGTTATTAGAAATTTTACACTATTCACTTAAATGCTTTCAAATAGAACTTAATATGTTTCTGTTAAATATTACTGTGGAGTCTGGTGTTTAAACATTGGTTTGAGTTTTTAGTATAAATAGGAGACATTGTATCAAGTGGCCAATCCAAATAAAATGTTAAAATAGTCAAGTGTGAGTTAAGTATTAAAATGCCTTCCATTGTCTCGTTTATTTTTTGCCAAATGAAAACTTAGTCTTTACAAGAAGAAACATGACTCAAAACATTATTTGAAAAATACCTCAGCAGCTCTGAAATATAAAATTTTGAATTTTCATTTTATCTGATTTCTACTGTTTTGCCTTTTTGGGAAATAAAAATCTTCACCCACTCAACTTTCCACAGCTTAAGTTTAATACCACAGATACATGATAATCTTTCATTAAATACAACTTGCTTCATTAATATTGTTTTAAAGGGAAATAATCCTGTATTCTTTATTAATGTGCCATGTTCTTTCAATACAAAGGTACTTATGTGCTGTGATGAGTGTGTTCACATCAGGAGATCACCAGTGTGGTTAGGTGGTGTTGGCAGAATTTTCTTTACTGAAAACTTTGGAATAAAATGACCTGACTCAAAGATAGAAAATAAATATACTTTTATTTATTTTCTTTAGGGTGATGTGTGAGTTCTTAGGTATTCAGTGTAGCAATATGTTCATTTATAAGGTAGATATTGGTAGCAGTCTGGAGAAATATTCAGGTGTGGTGTTTTGAAGTTAAACGATGATAAAGGTAGTAGTAATATTAGAAATTAGGTCAGTATCACTCTACTGTGTTTTTCTCAGCTCTTAGCAAGGCAGAAATATCATTAGCAGATAACCTCTTAACTACTTCTTTATGCGTCACACATAGCTGGTTTCTATGTGGTAGTGTTCTTTTTTTTCTGTCCTTTTCTACTGAACATTCTGCTTCTAACTCAAATGTATCAAGTTATATCCTTCTGACCAGGCTCTGAGATTCTGACATGAACATTTGGCAAAAGGAAATATTTTTCAAAATCCAAAACTGCATCAGTGGGTTACATTCATATGGCATTACCAATTTTTTTCAAGAAACTGTTATGTGGCACTGTTAAACAACTATAAATACAGGACAATTCCTGTCTTCTTTCTCTTTTCTCTTTTTATTCCTAACATTCTGTAGTGACAATACCAACTTGGATCTTGTCTTGAGCATGGAGATACCTTTCACCTTTGGTGACTGAACTTTTTCACACACACACACACACACACACACAAATGTATCACCTACCCCAGATTCCTAAATTTTAATGTCTTCTTTGTCTTACAAGTATACTAGTGTATTTAATTTTTTCTCCTTTGTTACTCAGCTATATAAAAACACATGAAAATATTGCCTTATTGAAATTTGTTCAGTTTCCTTTCATCTTTATTGACAACAATGACCTGTCATTGACATGAGTAAATTTTGTTTTCTACTATTTGCCTCGGGGTTCTTGATAGGCTCCAGAGGCAGATATGCAATGTAGTTGGCCCTGCTCTGGCATCTCGTCTACAGTTACTTTCTCACAGATGCGCCGTCGCCTCCCTCTGACTGTTCTACAAATACTTTCATGGAAATTGCTCCGAGGAGCTGCGTTTGCTGGTTCCCAGACGTCATGAGTTCAATCGCCATACAAGGCTGGCATCCCGCTCTCACCCCTTCACTGTCGAAACTCCTAAATGTAGCCATCTCTTCTACTCCAATAGCTTCATGTCTCATACCTCTCGCCTGTGGAACTCCCTTCCCTATTCCTGTTTCCCTGTGAGCTATAATCTCCAGCTATTCAAGTGTAATGTCAATCGACATCTCCAGTTGCCTTGATCTATCCACTACCCTCATCCTTTCTTCTATCACTCCCTATCTGATCTTGTTCTAAATTTTCTGTAACCCCTTGCGTCCCTAGTGGCTTCCCCAACAGCTTGGGGGTGAAATGCTTATAAAAAAAAAAAAAAAAAATAAAATAAAATTTTAGCCCAATTAGGAGCAGTACCCTAAACATCCATATAATTCTGACAATGATATTTTAAATGACAAAATTGTAAGTTATCTGATTTTTCCTTAAAGTCAAAGTCTAGCGATAACACTAGCGATAATTATATTTCTGCTTCTGATACATACCTTTCTCTAGGACCATTAAGGAAAAGGGTTTGTGCAGGTCACCAACATATCAAGAGTCACCAACACACAATACCAACAGTGGCCAACACTCCCAGCCATAAGAACACGCATGAGCAACTGAAATGTAGCAGTTTATATAGACACTTGATATGACCACGATTGATTAGAACAAAATTTGAATATCCTGCTATAAAATTAAGCCAGTGACACAGCTTGGGTTTCTTTTTAACAGAGAATACACATGATCAACAGGCATTTCATTTGAGAAGAAAAGTGATTATTTTCATTACTACAGGCCAATATCTGATGAAGCCCTTGTTGGAAGCACAACTGCATCTACATTTCAGCAAAGTTTATGGATATATAATTAGTTTTTCTTTTCTGGGAATGTGCTGATATGAAGCAGATTCAGAAACAGACAGATGCCTAAATTACAAAACTCAAGAGGTTAGCAATTGTATAAATAGCATTATAACAGATGGCATTGATTCCATACAATATTTATGCTATGGGGGGGAAGCCATAATCCTGTCTGTTTTAGTGTTGAGTAATTTGAAAGGATGGGAGAAACCTGAAAGGAATGAAAGCAGGCTGAGTACTCACAAGGGAATTTATTGTGGTATTAATGATTGCAATGATGTACAAATATTCAGAGGTTATTAATTAGAAATGGATTCATGAAACAATATTGTGCAAAACAAACATAAAGCAATAGAAATTAACTGTTGCCTGAAAATTCCACATTCTTTTTGTCACCCAGTTAGAGATTATATAATTTTTTTCTTAACTAAATGAAAAATCAATGTTATATTAATTTTTTACACACAGAATCTATCTTACACATTGATAAGTCTACCATTCTGGTCTGGTACTTCTACTATGTATTTAGTGATTATTGATAAAATGCAAAAAATCTGTAATGTTATCAGTCCTGACCTGGAATCTCAGCTTCAGTCACTCTCCCCACTGTAATGTAGCTTCTGTGTACCTTTTGTATAAATTCTGGTGAGCTTTCCTCTTTTATACCTCAACTTTACAAATTTAAGTGCAGTACTAGATTGGCAGATAGG